ATATATATAATAATATTTGGTGGTACCAGGGATTGAATTCAGGCCTTTATGCTTGCCAGGCAGGCACTTATTCCACTATCTCCCCAGCCCCCATTTTTATTTTTTATTTTTCGTTTTTTAAATTTTTTAAAAAGAGTACAAATTAGAATTAAAACTGAAAAAATTACAAGTGATACAGAATTTCACTTAACAAAGTAATATGAATTTCACAGTATTTGTTGTAATATATAGTGTTATTTTCTAATCAGTTATTCATATTACCAGATATATGCATGTAAAATTGGAAAAAGAAAATAAATGTTTAAGAGATTATGAAGAGAAAAAGTACAATTTAAAAAAGGAGGCAAAACAAATCATTATCTGCTTCTTTCCGTAGACCAGCAGAAATTCACAGTACAGTTGTCCAAACCATCCTGCTTACGTACATAGATAAATCTCTTTCCCCCGCTCCATCTCCTGTCCTTCTCCTCAACTCAGTAAATCTTTCCTTTTAAATAAGTTCACCCCGTTCTCCCAGTATCTATCTATTGTACCCTTCAGATTCCATTTTTCTCTTTCAGGTTCTCATACTAAGGAGATATGACAATGCTTGTACATGCGGGTCTGATTTATTTCACTTGGCAGTATGTTTTCTAGTTGCACCCATTTGCCAGCGAAAGACTCAGATTCATCCTGTTTTATAGCTGAATAATACTCCATTGTGTAAAAATACCATATTTCCTTTATCTGTTCTTCAGTTGATGGGCCTCTAGATTGTTTCCAGATGTAGCTATGACAGATTGCGCTGCTATAAACATGTGTGCACGTATATCACTGTGGAATGATGTTTTTAGTTCTTCTGGAAAAATGCCCAGGAGGGGAATAGCTGGCTTGAATGGAACCTCTAATCCTCGCTTTTGAAGGAATCTCCACACTGATTTCCATAGTGGTTGTACCGGTTTATACTCACACCAACAGTGGAGAAGGGGTCCCTTCTCTCTACAGCCCCTACAGCATTTGTTATTAGGTGACTTGTTGATGTTAGCCATTCTTTCTGGAGTGAGATGGAATCCCAGTGTTGTTTTAATTTGCATTTCTCAAATGACTAATGATGTTGAACATTTTTTCATATATTTGTATTTTTTGCCATTTGTATTTCTTCCTCTGGGAAATGTATATCCATCTCAAATGCCCATTTTTGGATTGGGTCTTTGAATGGGGTATTGATTTTTAAAAATTCTTTATGTGTTCTAGATAGAAGGCCTTTGTTGGCGGGATAGTTGGCTATAATTTTTTCCCAGTTTGTGGGGGTTTTTTTCACTCTGTTGACTGTTTACTTTGAAGCGCAGAAAGTTTTCAAAAACATGAGATCCCAGTTGCTTTAAGATTTCTAGGGGCTGGGGAGATGACTCAGTGGAATAAGCGCTTCCCTGGCAAGAGCAAGGGCCTGAGTTCAATCCCCGGTTCCGCAAAAAAAAAAAAAAAAAAAGATTTCTACTTACATTTTCCTCCAGAAGATTTAGTGTTTCTGTCTTAATATTTAAATTTGGTCCATTTTGCCTGTAGCCTGATGCTATTTAAATCGGCACTCACTCCGCCTGCCAGCAGCGCATCCAGCCTAGAGCACACAGGGTCCTGTGCTCTTCAGTAGAAGCAAGGTGGTTCATCTTCTGTGCCAGGTGGTTTGGCCACATTTTTGTGAACTAACTCAGTATTTCCTTTTCCTTTGTAGATATGATGCCAGCAAAGGGATGGAAAGTCTAGAGGATACTTTTGTATCTCAAGCGAATGCTCTGCAGAGGAAAGGCAGGGCAGGCCGGGTTGCCTCTGGGGTCTGCTTCCATTTGTTCACCAGCCACCATTACCATCACCAGCTGTTAAAGCAGCAGCTACCAGAGATACAGAGAGTGCCACTGGAACAGCTCTGTCTAAGGTCACATCTTGAGTTTTGTATTTTGCTTCCAAAATGTTTCTCATACTATTTAAGTTCTATGTTTTCTTTTTTTCCAAGTAGAAAACATTTTGCTAATAATGGGCATCAAGGAATTCACTCATTAGCAAAGAAAGCCCTTCAGAATGACCTTTATCATTCCTTTTAACTTTCTGTACATGGAGATCTCTCGTATTGCAGAGCATGGCCTAAAATAGAGCTTAGCAATGTATTTATAAGTTAGGAAAACAAAACAATCAAAGTTAACAAGGAATTTCTGCTTGAGAAGCACCAATATCAGATTATCTTAGGGAAAGATAGGATTTAATAAATGAATGATCACATTTATGTTTGTGTGTGTTGTTGGAGATAGAGCTCAGGCCCTTGTGCATGCTGGGAAAGTGCTCTGCTCCATCCCGACCCACATCCCTACCCCTTACCAAACAGAACCTATCAGGGGTGGGGTTTCTTTGATTCAGCCTTTCTGAAAATGTATTGGGCACTGTATAAGAACTGTAAAACTGTCTATGCTGTTTGACTCAGTCATTACCTCAAGGGAGTATGCTCATATAAAAATAACCCAAAGAGAAGGGGAAACCTAGTAGTACAAAGATACGTAACTCTTCTTTTATACAGTAGGTATAGCTGAAGAACTTTCTGTTTGCCAGGTACTGGGCTAAGCACCATATGGCTCAAGAACGGTGTGTTCATGTCAAGTCTTTAGAAATTGGGCGCTAGGTGACAGCCCAGGTCTGTATCCCAGCACTCAGGAGGCTGAGACAGGAGGCTTGCCATGAGCTTGAGGCCAGTGTGGACTACATAATGAGTTTAAAGCCTACCTGAACTACATAGTGAGACTGTCCCAAACAAACACATACACACACAC